ATTATAATAATTTAATGTAAAGCAGACGACCTCATCAGAGACCGTTTAGACCTTATTTCGTTCCGCGAGTGATTTCAAAATTTATAGTGACTGACCTTTGTGAATATTTGTGTATACTGTTGATTTTATTTGTTCATGATTTGTATCTGTACTTGTGTGTTTAATAATTATGAAGGACCAAAAATGGAGATTGAATACACAATCATAAAGTGTCATATCGAAAAAAGGCACACTGTTCAAAGTATCTATTATATAAATTTACGGAAATCTCATACCGTATTTCATGCATTCCAAATTATGACGACACACTCGACCTCGGATGAGTCGAACCTCGGATGAGTCGAATACTTTAGTCCAGTCCCTTCGACTTCGACACAACGAGGTTCGACTGTATTTAGTTTTTCTATATCCCCGATAGTACCGGTTTTCAGATATTTAACTTATTGATACTCTTTAAAATATAAAATGCAAATCACAATACAAACACTTTTGTCGAGTGAACGGATCGGACGAGTTCAAAAGGCTCAATATTGTGTACAGCAGATAATATTTGTAAATATCACTGTGATGAAAATCTAATAATCGTGTAATCGGTTATTCTTAATTTTATAAAAAAAAAACAAAAGTTTTGTCTTTGTTGAACCTAAAAATTCCTGTCGAAATAAATATTATGACGTTCATCATTTATTCAGGTCACTTTTTAACGCCTTTTCAACGCTTTAGGTATCACAAAGCCGTGATATGCAATTATATGAAGAGCTGAGCAAAGGAAAACAAGCATACAAAAGATTTATACAGCATATGCCAAGCAAATGCCATGTCACTAAAATTGGTTTCATACGTTTGTATTCCACAAAAGCACAAAACTAGAACAGACTCTACAGAGACGTGCGAACATATAAACAACAGTAAAAAATTCAAACAAAATTTGTAATAACATAAGCAACACGACGGGTGCCACATGTGGAGCAGGATCTGCTTACCCTTCCGGAGCACCTGAGATCACCCCCAGTATTTGGTGGGGTTCGTGATGCTTAGTCTTTAGTTTTCTATGTTGTGTCATCTGTACTATTATTTGTCTGTTTGTCTTTTTATTTTTGGCCATGGCATTGTCAGTTTGTTTTCGATCTATGAGTTTGACTGTCCCTCTGGTATCTTTCGTCCCTCTTTTAATACAGAGCATGCGTCCTTCAAAGCGCTCTTCTGGATCCACCTTTATCAGGAACGTTTAAACCGACTATTCGTAAGTCACGGAATTACAAAAAACCCAAACATTGAAGAGTTATATGAGTAAAAAGAATCTAAAATTAATAGCAAACTGCATCTAAGATTTATTTTGTCTGAGGGAGATGAAACCTTAGTTTCTTAATAATTCATAAATTTATATACGGATAGTTTAAGAATATATATGTTCGTGATAAATCATGTCAGTTCCAAAGTACTCACTACTGAGCTGGCGATACCCTAGGGAACTGATAGTCAATCAGCAGCGGTATCGATCCTGTGTAGTAAAAAATTAAAGCAACACTTGATACATTTCATACATCCGAAACGCTTTTCTGGATTAACCTTCATAAACATCGAAATCGTACACACGACAAAAAACGTTCATATTATAGAATGCTCTCTAATATCATAAATTTCATTATTTTGAAATACCATATATCGGTAGATTTTCTTCATTTTGCATGCTCCTGTGACGTTTTGATGTAAAAAAATCTCCAAAACATTATATATAGTATACAGCATTTAGAAATATAACAGTAAATCAAAAAAAAAAAAAAAAAAAACAACTTTGAAAGATCAAATATTTATTTGCAGATGAAGACGAAGACAATATTATAATTTATGTCTGATTGGAATTGTTGCAGTGTTGGGTATTGTTGTATTACTTATTGTGACAATCTGGTACAGAAGAGGTATGTTTACTTAGTTCATATTAAAATTTACTTTATGCATTTCCAATCAATAAGATGGTTAACATTGTACCATATTAGGTAACTTTATTTTACCTATAATTATTCAAAGTACACAGAAACTTCATTTACCCACATCATGTCAGTGAATATGTTATGATTCAGCTTTTATCAAAGTCTTATTTCTAACGTTGTGTCCTATTCTCAAAATGTCTCAAAAGCAGGTATTGTTTTCTTTCCGACTGTCAATTGGTATTATTTTGTTACCTCATTTTATATGTTTTGATTGTTCTTAAAATAAAGATTGGACACCAATATAAGTCCGCAATTATGGTTCCGACATTTATTAAGGGAACGGTTTTACATTCTGAATTGAGACAAAAAATACTCTAATTCTAAAATCAGTTTGCTCATTTTGTTCATTTCTGTACTTCGAAAAGTATCAGTTTAATTTTCATCTTTTCATTTCTTGTTTTATTAGAATTTACAAGGAAAAAAAAGATAAAAACGCCTATCAATGTTTAGATCCTTAATTTTTGGTTAACATGGTTAAGACTAAATGTATGTTATCAACCAGTCGTATTGTTTATATTTGGTTTTTTGACATAATTATTACACTGCTTTATATTATCTAAGATCAAATTTGACATTTCTGAACAATATCGCCTAAATGTGATTAAACTTTTAAATGGCTTATTTATTTCACTATTCATGATATATTACATCATGAAATTTTTATCAAATTAAAAATCGGCAGTTTTCAGAGAGGTTCTGGTATTTTCTTGATTTTACTGTAAATGAACACATTTGAGGATACACACATATGTGGTTACATCGATTACATTTGTAATATCAATTTAAAGCTTCCTTAGTTGTCATAAATGTGTTGTACATTTTGTTATTGGAAATTTAAGATTAATTCAATTCGATCAAAACTGTTTCAATGCATAATGCTGGTGTTATTGGTTGGTTGAGTTTTGTTATCATTTTTGTAAATTCTCATTAAAAAAATTAGGAGACAGTTCGTTAAGTTTGTCATCCACACATAATATTTGTTTAGTTAAAAGTCAAGTCATGTTGGTCAAAGTAAAAGCTGAAATTGGAAACGTTAAAAGAGAGACGAAAGATACCATAGGGACATTCAAACTCACAAGTCGAAAATAAACTGACAACGCCACGGCTAAAAAAGAAAAAGGCAAACAACAGTACACAAATCACAACAGAGAAAACTAAGGACTGAGCAACACGAACTCCACCAAAACAGGGGGTGATATCAGGTGCTCCGGAAGATTAAGCAGATCCTGCTCCACCTAGATAATTTAACTGATAATTTCAAATGTGTGATCCAGTAACAATGGGTTTATTTAATGCAATCTAAAAAATATGAAACGGGATCTCAAGTTAAATAACAATAAAACCAATTACTAAGGTTTGTGTTTAATAAATGCGGCATGTATATGTGTAGGTCGAGAGAAAAGGAACGACAATGCAAGGTGAGTACAAATATTTGAATGCTAATCAGATTTATGCTTTTGTAATGTATTTTGCATTAAATAAAGTGTCAAGATGGAAACACCCAAACAATTTGTTAAAACCCAGGTAAATGTTGAGTGTAACGGTTGTCTAAAATAGAAGAATTTTAATTTTTTTCATATTTTTGTCTCGCCTTTACTTCTCGCGAGGCAGAATTCAGAAATAGATCAAATGAAAGTCAACACACAGAGACAACACTTAATTAGACGTGCTGTTTCGTGAGTTGGCCTTGGCGTCGGGAGTGACAATTTTCTCTGAATTTGTGCGAACCTTTGTGGTTATGATGGTTTTTTTTAAAGCATTAACGAGAAAATATTCTAGCTAGAACAATTTCAACAATAGTATTTCAATAAAGGTTAGAATAAATAAAGTCTTTACTTTGCAAATTCCACTATTTTTCCAGCCAACTGCTAACGCTCTGGCAAATTTGATCTCGTGAATGCATAAAAGGTGATCTACTTATGATTATCATTCGTTTCAAATTATGAAGATGGTCCAAACATGAAACCATAAAGCAACATAATATCACCACAAGTCTTGATTTATTAACAGGATTAACATAAACTGAATTTCTTTTTACAAAGAAAAAAAGCAATTATTTGTTGATATTTCTGAAACGGAAATGGCACATACACATTTGAAGTAGTTTTTCTATTTTTCATTACTCTATTATGCTCAAATCTTTCTACAGATAAAGAAAATGCATTGTCTTTCAATTTTACTTATGTGCTTTGTCTATATGCCATTTTGCTTTTCTTTGTTGACATATTTGTTTGTTTTTATAGTGATTAAGATTATAACACAATGTTGACTGCTGTACTCCTATTTTTGACATGTTTAACTATTATGTCTGTTTGTTTCGTCACACAATGTTGTCAATATAATGGAATTTTATGCGACTGTCATACAAGTGAGAGGTTCAGCTAGCTTTAAAACCAGGTTTAATCCACCATTTTCTACATGAGGAAATGTCTGTACCAAGTAAGGAATATGACAGTTGTTTTCCATTCGTTTGATGTGTCTGAGCTTTTGATTTTGCCTTTGATAAGGGACTTTCCGATTTATATTTTCCTTGAAGTTCGGTATTTTTGTTATTTTACTTTATGCTGAGTACGCAAAAAACAACAATATACTGTTTTCATGATATAAGAATAGTTTATATAAACTCTCAGTCAATACAAATGAAACTTGTGCAATGCCTTTCTTATATTTGTAAACAAAACCTGATCACACTATAGAATAAAAGTAATTTCGATATTTGTTCTAAGAAGTCTATTAGTAATCGTGACTCTCTAACTGAAAAGTCTGGAGTTGACCAGCGAATACATGAAACAAACTTATGCATACAAGTAAACGTATGTGGAATCATTTAGGTCCAAGAGATGAAACTGCTTTCAGTAGTGAAAAAGAATAACAAAAATACCGAACTCCAAGGCAATTTCGAAGAGGGGAAGTCCAGAAAAACTGACAAAATCAAACGCTATCAATCAGTTTTACTGATGGTTTTTATTTGATAACATAACCATTTAAATACTAATACATATACATATACAGGTGTATTTCTTTTAACTGTCATTTTAGCAACAAATACGTATCCCAACAGGCAGCTATTTCCAACAAGCAGGATAATGCAGGTAAAAATAATCAATATTCAAATATCATATACATATCAACTTCATATCATTATAAGACAACATCTCATTTATTCGCAATCTGTCTTCAAAAAGAGACAGGAGATACCAAGGGGACATTCAAAACTCATATTAAGTCGACGGAACGCTGACAACGCCATTACAAAAAAAACGAAAACTACGAAGAGACGAACAATTCCAAAATACACTACACAGCACACTAGAGATTGTGCAACACGACCTAACCAAAAACAGGAGTGAAATCCGGTGCTACTGTTCAAATACCCCTTTTGAGGTGGAAGTCCCTTTTTTATTTTTTTACTTTTTGTTCATGAAATACTTTCTCATTGTTTTTCGAATTCTTTTCATTTCATTTAAATTATATACTTGATAAATAAAAACGTAATTGACTAATAGAGTATCACAAGTACGTTAATTATAATCTATGTATACCCTTTATAAGAGATGGTTGATACAGTACAATGTTGCTAATTAAACCCTTTTATATTACAATTGAACATATTTTAGAAAAAATGTTTATATGTTTACAAAGACCTTATATTAATTGAATTTATTTCATATTAAGTGGGGTTGTTTTTTTTTTTCTCTTCTTTTTGAACATTTGTTAGAATTACGAAAAAAACTTCAATGGAAATTGGTATTATTTTTAAATAATTATTTAATTTATATTGCAAAACTTCTTTTTACAGTATTGCGATGACATGAAGCTCCTCCTCTCCGTCTAATTTCGAAATCCTAATCTATTTGCAATTATGGAGCTATTGACCACGTTGATCGTACACTTATATTCAAAATGCAACATACATTAATATTAATAAAAAGTACCCCTGTTTTCTGTTTGCAGAACTATTTTAGAAAACATAAGCCCTTGTAGGACGAGACTCTACAAACTAGGAATGATGTAAAATGCTGACATAGGTTAATAATAGCAGACATACTATAATTGATAGATTTATCATGAGTATTCTTGTAATTAAACTCATTAAAGATATCAGGCTTATTATTTGGTGTGTCAGACACATTTTTGGCTGCATCAGACTCATTAGTTGCACTTGAATCAAAACATTTAGAAGGCCAAATCCAACACGAAGTTGAAGAGCATTTATAACCGAAACTTTGATGTCTGCTGAATATGTATTAAGATTAAAATACTTGTAGTTAACATGAAATCACGAGATATCAGAATACATATTCAAAACAGTGTTTGCACAATTTTAATATTGAAATAATTTAACATGTTATTATTTGTTTCAGATTATACTAAACATCGAGATCGTGACAGGTACGTGTTTTTTACAAATGAAAGTATGACAGATTAGAATGAGTGTATTTTAAAAATGAGAAAATATACCAAGAGGACATACAAAAAAACTATACATCCAATAAAGCAGACAACATTGTGGATGAACAAGAGAAAGGACGAGACGAAATAAAAAAACTTACTAAACACTAAATATAAAATAAAACTTCAATACAAAATAAACCTTATCAAAACCGGGTAACTTAGGTAATCAGATGCTCCATAAGTGATCAGACAGTAGGTGATCTTTGCAATGCATCATGTCCTCTTCAGCGACATTCATAATTTCCTAATGTTCTTTTATATTTATTATGACATCGCGGTAAACTCACATTTAAGACTCGATATATAAGTAATGAATTTCATAATTGGTTTGTCAGTGTTCAAATATTGAATATTTGTCTCAGGACATGCAGAAAATAGCAATGAATGAATCGAATCATACTTTTCACGTTGTCATTAACACACCCATGATTAAACACTTGTTAATTGTGTGATCTAGTAAACTTGTGAGTAATCAGGCGTTATGAATTTGTAATATAATACAGGTTTGATAACGAAAGTTACTGTATAGTATGTACTTTTTTTTGTGGTGCATTTATTTTCACGAATTTCGCGGTAGGTATATGGTAAAAACATTTACCACGAATTTAAGTACACGCAAATTCAGCGGCAATACCAAATTCGTGAAAGTAAATACATTCCAAAAAAAGTACATATACAGTAATCTAAAACGTATTATCATTGGCAACGTATTTCAGTACTTTTTTCATAATTTAAACCGTAATTATGAAGAATGGAGATAGAATATATTATCAATTATTATATGATTGACAGAGATTATGACGGATTGGATACAAACAGACAGGAGATGCACGTATACAACACGGCACAGGACAATGTAGAGTATAGTCATTATATGACGATACCAGCAGACCATACTTTTTTGGACCCAGACAATACTTACTTGCAACCAGACAATAGTTACTTGGAACCAGGTCGGATTTACTTGGAACCCATAAGTGGAAACTCAATGACATCTACAACGTAGTACACATGACTATCAAGATGAAAAGTCTGGAGTTGTCTGAATCTTAGGATGATAATTGTTGCTAATGGAATCAATTTGATCAACAGAAATAAACCTTTAGAATCGCCACAGAAACATAATTCAATTATTTCTATCATTAACTGAATATTCTTTTTTTTAGATTAATTTATTGAATAATTATCCTTCGAACTAACATGTGTTTTCTGACATTTTACTTTAGACAGTGGTAATTTGCTTTTTAATTAATTAATTATCATTATAAACGAAATTGGGATCCTTATATGTATTGTTTAGTTGCTGCAACGTTGAATAACAAAATATCCAACACATGAAAAATAAACTTATAACATTTTCAATGCATACATAGCACAAATCTTCTTAACTTAAATAATACTTCGATTTTAATTTTTTTTTTTTTTTTTTTTTTTGTTGGTGAAGAAGTCAACACTTATAAAAGTCAATTACATTCAACCTATTAATGAATTATTGATATTATCACACAAAGCTATGGTTTTATGCAGGAAATTGCTACCTCTTTTATGCAAGAGATTGCTACTCCTTTTTCCAGGAGTGAGGAGATATCAAGGTAGCAAACAAAAATCATAAGTCAAATAAATATAATTGATCTGAACAGTTCTTCAAAAACTGAACAATCAATTATTAAGTCACTTAACATATTACAGCCCATTTGCAGACTTATTCGCTGCGGTTAACTCAGTTCTGTTCAGATCAGTCGCTTGCAGTCAACATCAGTTCAATCTTTGTTCAGATTGTTTAGTAGTTGTTATTTACCTATACAGAGCAACACCATACATAATTGTCAAAACAGCTACTGAACAGTACTGTATTGACTGCAAGCTAATTTTCTCAGAGTAGTGCCACAGTCAATTAATCTACAAATTAATTGAAACATAATTAGTTAATTATTCAATCTGTTCAGATCCTGTCAAGATCAACATGACCGTTACACACTAAAATTCGTTTCGTTAAAGGGGTTGGCATACAAAACGCGTTAGTCGATGAAAAACTGAAAGACCACGGCAAAAAACTGAAAGACCACGGCAAAAAACTGAAAGACCACGGCAAAAAACGAAAGACGACGAAAAGACAAACAAGTCTACAAAACACAACATAGAAAACAACAAGAACACCACTAAAATCTGGGGACTATAGCAGGTGCTATGGACTGGGTAAGTATTTCATTTTTCACGTGTAACACGTGTCATTCATTGCAAGAAAAAAACGTTGAAAAGACGTTTTCGATTATGTCTCAGTTCAGTAATAAATAACGAAATTGCGACTACAACAGGTGGTGAATATTCACGGTCATCAGTAATATAGATATTCTATAACAATAAAACAAATCATGAGGTAGGCCTGAAAACTGTGTGTGTGTGTATTCATTATCTTCGTAGTCATGTTTTACTTTAATAAACTATGGTCTAAAACATGTTCGGAAGAAACAGTTATAGGAGTCGAATATTGAACTTGTAATCATTGTCTTATGTCTTAATAACAACTGACAACGCCATGTTAACAGGAAAGGTCTCTATTCGAACAAAGGGCTTAGATTATCTATTTGATCAGCATCATTTACAACCAATATTTCAAAGCTCACAAAAAGACGCTAAAAATACCAAAGAGGGAATCAAAACTCATAACAGACATACACACCTACAAAATCATGGCTAAAAACTATAAACAACGAAAAGACAAACAAAAAATTACATTAAATTAAAGCTGAGTATTCCGAACTGTAACCCGTGCTCCCAAAGGGTTATCATATCCTACTATACATATGTGGCACCCCTCAAATTGATTATTGTAGGTACACATTTGGTGTTAAATCCCATTTGGTGATGTCTCAAGCCTTCATCTTAATGACTCATCTCACTTATTTAACATACGTTTACTTATATGAATAAAATTAGATGTGAGTTTAAGTCAATGACATCGAAAAGTTACTGAAACCAGTAGGTACTTTGTGTCTGCAATGTAAATTGGTTTTGTGCTTTGTATCAATCTGGTGAGTCAAATGATTTTTATAGTTTGTTATATTGAGCTGTTACAGTTCTGTTCCAGGTGAGGAGAAGGATGCGCACTCCTCCTCCCTCCCCCCCCCCCCCAACAAGTTTAACCCCGCCACATGATATATGTGCCTGTCACAAGTCAGTAGTAAGTAATTCAGTGGTTGTTATTTGTTGCTGTTTATCATATTCGTTATTTGTTTGTTTGTTGTTGTTTTTTTTTTTACATAAAGCAGGCCAGTCTTTTTTTCCGTTTTAATTGTTTAACATTTTGTCATGTTTATATCTTGTTATGCTGTTTATGTTTTCTTCTTTGTAAAAGGCCTATTAAAATTTCAATCATTTACGTCAAGTGGTGTCTGCTGGATAGTTGTCTCATTTGCAAGCATACGCCATCTCCTTATTTCTATTAAAAAAATAGGGAAACTAAAATGCCAAACGCTGAAATATCTTGTTGAAAGAAAGCTTGGTTCTGAAATAATTATACTGGTAGTATCAGTTCTATACCAGCAACTACAAAAATACCTGAAGGACACAAAATATTTAGTTAAAAACAACAACTGACGAGGTTTCCGATATATATAATCACCCGAACATGTAGGATTGGTAGAGAATAAACTTGTTTTTTATCAATAAACCCAACAGGTAATCCAATCTTCTCATCAATGCAATTTACTGTGTAGTGTATTCCCGTTTAGAGATACAAGTAATTATATAAATTGGTTAATTGAAACCACACTGCATAACACTTATTTCTAACAAACTAATGAGTGAATTGCTATTAATTTTAACAGAGCCAACGAAGTATCACAATCGATGAAAAACTGATAAAAAAAATTGATTTAAAGAAATGAAAAGAAATGTAAACCTGTATTTTTTAAATTTTGGTACAAAATATTACCTTGAGAAATTCTTGAATCTCGGAACAGATATCGCTACCTCCAAATGTTAAGTGTAACAAGTCAATGTGCATATTGTAACGATAGATATACCTCGAAAACCAATGACGAGGTTGAAAACGATTTTTTTTTCAAATTGAATGTTTATATTTAGTACATAATTTTTTTAATCTAAAACTGTTTAAAGTAAACTGCATTCCTGCACCGAAATTTGTCGATTTGATTTAAAATCTAGACTTATTGTGTTCTGCTGTTAACAATCCAAGATGAAGATATACTCCAATTCTCTCTTTATGGCCATGCTAAGCCCTTCAAATGAATAAATCATATGTTTTGTCGCTAAAAGTCATTGCAAAATATCTTCATATCATAAATTGTTAAATATCATTAGACTGTTTAAGTCACGATCCCCCAACCACATATTAAATATTCTTAATTGTCATGGAGGACCCGTCCAGTGCACAGTACATTATGGACTTTCCATTCAAAGAATGAATTATAAAGACAAACGAGAGACGTGTTCATTAAAACCATGTCTACTAGTTTTTGCTGTAATGTTTTATCTTCTCGTAAAACACTACAATACACATCAAACTCAAGTGTGTTTGTTTTGTTAATTGATGGGTAAAAATTTTCAGATGACCTGAAATTTAAAAAGTTTTTTGATTTTGTTTTTGTTTTATGAATTGTTAAGGTTTGTATCACACAAATTCTCAATTCATATATCTCCAAGTATGTCGTTTTACCCATTTTTGTAAATTATTGCCTTTGAAGGAAACCGGTCCCATTAGTGGATATTGCGCATTCAGCCCGATGGTTTTACATTTTTTAGAATACTCTAGCGTGTTTTGCGTGTGAAATACAATTACACCGTGCAAGCATAACTTTGCGTCACATGCTTTGTTATTTTACACATCTGGAAACAGAGGTACAATAAATTGATGACACCATGATTAATTTCGCGCACGTGTCCTCATTGACCTATTCATGCATCTTATACATGTATCCTAGGATTAATTTTCAGAATAGTTAGAAACTAAGATAAAAACTTCCTCATAGAAGGTTGACTTTGGATTGATTTGGCTTTTCTGTTGAAGTCATTGTTTTGTCATCTAGCTCATCACATGTTCAATGTCTTATACATCCTTGTCGTTTCAAGGTTTTAAAGTCTGGGCGTTCCTTATTCAGTTAAATCCTGAATAGCTTTTTGAAAGCACTACATTTGCAACCATTTCCATTTTATTGTTTATTATCTGTACATTATTTAATCTTATTTTAGTGGGTAAAAAAACAAGATATATATATATATATGTTTAATTCAGATATAAGGCAGTTTATAATTTAATGGTCAAAGAATGTATGATATTTCCCAACAGTTCAACTAAATCTGCTACCTCGATTTCATTGTCCTTAAGAGTCGACAGTAAATTTGACAATAATTCTTGTATTTGTACAGGAAATAGTACTGGTCTCAACAAATGTTTTAAAAAAGTTGTATATATATGGTATATATTTCTTTTCGCGTTATATCCTTCACATTTTCCAATCTTGCAACCTTTTTCATAATCACAAAACGTGTTCGATAATTCATTTATGTTCAGACGTGTACATGCAAGTTTATATGGACATGCATTCGAAGTAATATTCTGTGAATAATGACATTGCTTTTCAATGTTGTGCATATAATCTAGATCAATTAGTTTAATCTTGTTTTTTACTAACAGAAAATGCGTTCTCTTGAAATCACCTATTTTCAAAGATCCTAATGGAGATTTGTGTAAATATAATAAAAGTTTAGCAAGATCAAAAGCATGAAAAAGTCGGTCATTCGTTGTTAACTGTAAACTTTCAATATCAAACTCCTCACCATACTCGTACACAGCTCTAATATCATTAAGTGGGAAATCTTTGTATCCTTCTCTGTTTATATATCGGACACAAAATCCTAACATCTGAATAAGACCCGGATGTTCTAATTGATCTCTTAGTAATATTTCTTTCATGAAAAGAGCCTCTCTGTATTCCTCACTGATTACCTTTGGCTTAATTTCAGAAATCCTCTTCGTAGCAACCATTTCTCCTTTAAACATCCCAATATCAACAGTTTTTGACCTTCCTCCTCCAACGTTGGACTTCAATATATGTACTTCATTTATATTGGTACAGTTAAAGATGTATGGATTTTTCAAAAGCATGTTTTTCTTTCCAATATTTTGGAACTGTAAAAACTGAGAAAAAGTTTCCATATCTGTCTCAAATATCAATTC